ATAAGCAAATATATATATATATGTTGCTTACAACTCTTAAATACAATTTTATATTTTACCAGAAAAAATTAAGTTTTATTTTAAGAAGACATTTAGTGTAACAAATAATTTGAGTGTAAATTTTCCGAAGTCCTATAATTTACGAAAACTTTAATCATAAAACCTTCCAGCAAAAAGGAAAATATAAAATATTTAAAGTCAAGCGGTGTATTCAAATGACAGATGTATTCTAACTATGTTTCATAACAGAAGAATTATAATTACTTATTACTTTGGATACTTATTACGACAGTCATTTCCCAGTAATTTTCAGAAAATATTTTTATTTCCATACTGGCAACTCATTCCGTTTTCTTTTCTTCTTTAAGGGCATAGATATACTTGAAGAATTGGATTAAATTTAGACAATTCAACTGATCTAATGTTTCAAAATATTGTAAATGCGCGCTAAAAAAGTTTTATTTAATTTAATTAGCTGTTAAGAATTTTAACGTGGTAACTTTTACTGCGTATATTATAATAACCTAAAAATATCTTAGTATAACTATAGAAAGAATTTGAAATTAAAATTTAGAGAAAAAGAAAAAAAAACCTAATATATAAGTACGTTATATATTTTCTAGTTCAATTCTTGTTTTTTTGTAATCCAAAATACGCTATTTAATAAGGCCTCTCATTTCACACAATTTACTAACTATTGCTCCACAAACTTTTATAATTTAATGTTCTTTTTATATTATATTGCTGAAAATGTTTCTAATTAATGTGAAAATTACTTCTTTTCATGTTCAATTGAATGGGTTTTATTTGCCCTGTGATAGTGACACATACAACATTAATTCTTTTTCCCCCGGCCAAACAGTCAACTCTCTTATTTTAATGCCTTTAGCACTATACTTGGAGAATTTGAAGTCAAAAGTTTCGAAACGAAAATTAATATTCAATTTTACAAAAATTATCTGACAATTTCAGAAAAACTGTACTTTTTCATGCAGAAATTTCCATAATCCTCAAGACAGCAGAATCTGTCGGCTCAAGCAAACCCTCCTTAAAATTTTGGTGCAGTTCAGATGATTGAGTTAGATCTGCTGAATTAAGAAGTCGAGAATAGTAGAAGCACTAATGGTTCATTTGTTTAAGTTTCAAATGAAAAATTTCATTTAATCTAACAGAGTTGCCTAGGGCTATATATATTTTGTGAATTTATCAGCAATCATGTGTATATGTTTCCATGATTTTGTTTTCATTTACATAAATTGTACTTGTTCATGGCATGGTTCTCTCTTCTATTGAAATTAAAGTTTATTGCACCAAACACTCAGTGGAGACTAATTTGAGGAGTCTTTATATTTGTTGGCCTGTTTTTTCAGAACTGATCAAAAGTATCGAAAGCCCTCTTCCCTTGTGCAATTTTGTTTGTAATGTAAATTTTTCAATTTAATTTTTTGTTTTCTATTTACTTCTGCAAGAAGTAAATGGAAAAAACTCATGCTATACTTTGTCTTGCATGAGGAGTTTCAATCGTTTAAATAAAAAAAAATATATATAAAAAAACACTCAGTGGTTGAGCTCAACGCATATACTTGCAATCAACAGCAGTTATTAACGAAGATTAAATCAAAAGACAAAATTGATTTTCCCAATAGCTGATATCAGGAGTGCTTTTTCTTTATTTTTGTGTAAGCTGAACAATTCATAAGGCAATGTTGCCTCGAAGTGTTGAACAAATCTGACTTTAAAGCTATCCATGATGCTTACAACTTTCTTTATAAGAAATTAGAAATTATGTTACAAAAAAAATAAAAAAAGAATGGGAGATAAAATCACGAGAATATGTAGTAAAAATAAATAAACTTGGAAGGAAATACTTATGATAAGATGAGAAAATTTATGAAATCTCGGTTGGGACTATAGCAGCTTAAAAGTGGACAAAAAAGAAAATCTATCTATAGTTGTCTGATTATTATTAAGATGATAAAGTTGTTTTAAGGAGGCATCTGATCTGCATCTGATCTGAAAAATGCATCTATTGCAGAGCGCTCAAGAGAAACCTAACCAGAAGAAAATTACCCGTATTTTTATAATAAAAGAAATTAGAGCCCTTAGCAGTTCTTGTTAGCAAAAGCAAGATTTCTAGAAACATAATTTTAGCTGTAAAATTTCTCAGGAATATGTCAGGATTAATTGTGATTCAAAGTAGGTGGGAAAATCAGTTTTCTTGAACTTTCTAAGATACTTTTGAAACCCATTTTAAAGGAAACGTACTCTTCTGTTTCAGAAATCATTGGACATACACTGTCAGCTTAATAAAAAAAAACTTCTATAGTTATTACATGTAAGGCTTTCTGCTGTTAATAAAGCAAGAAAAAACTCATTCGAAAGAGGAGTGAATCTGATGCTTATCTTGCCGACCCGCATAGAAATATGATGAAAATGTTCACTCCATTATTTCAAAGAGTTTAACTTTGTAACCAACGAGTAACAAATCTCAAGAGAACTGGCGAGTGGAATTCGTCCCGTCATTTGTGAACAAGTGACCTTATAGCAATAAGTGCAAATTATTTGAAGGGCAGCTGTAAAAAAATTAAAGATATGCACATCTTCTGAAATGTGCATCCCAAAACGTTGAAAGATGAGACTACATATGGTTGCCGATTTCCAGCCTCTTGTTCGAAAGGATTCACGAAAAAATGTATTTGTTTTATGACCGCAAACAATATTTCTTCATTAAAATTTACAATGCATAAATAAGCTAAGTTTATTTTGTTAAAGTTGATTAAAACGTATTTTTCGAAACGAATATATTAATTCTGATTATTATAATTGTTGAATTTATTAAATATAAGCAAACCAATATATTTCAAAATTGTAAGTGGAAGCTTTAATTTTTTTAATTAGCTAATTGTTGTGTTTACTTGCAATACATAATCGTTATTATACGATACATAATTTTCTAGAACTACTGTTTTTTTGCTGAAATATGCATTTCAAGTAAACATAAGATTTTAAAACAATTTAGGGCTCAAACCCCTATTTGTTTTACAACTATAACTCTCAAGAATTGAAAAAATTAACATATTATTGAAATATTTCCTAAACTAGTTTAAAATAAGTAAAGCAGCTTGAGAAAACATACATTGTCTTCTGCAATTTTTTTGAATGTATATTATTTTAACACCAAGTGAATATATATTTATCTTGCAAAACCCAAACATAAAAAAATATAAATATAAACTTATTAAATAGTCTGGAGATCGTCAACTTTACAAGCAGCCTTTTTGTTCCACAATGACATAAATGGGTTCATTCCCGCTTGTTTCCTCTGCTAAGTTCTCGGAGAACCCTAAAATATGTTTCTGGATTGCAGCCGGCTTCCGGGCGCTTAGAGGTAGAAAAACAAATGCATCATTGAAAGGGAAAAACTACTCTAGCATCTGTGAAAAAAAGAGACAAAAAGAAAGTTTGAAATACACTCGAGAGTGAAAACAAAACAACTATGACGATATTTACGTCATGGAAAGGCGTTTCCAAAGTAGCGAATCCGAAAGCCTTCGGAGGATTACAACAGTCGTGGTTACTATGACTACAACACCATCTTCTTCAAAAGCACCGGGGAATCCGCTGGTTTGCCCAGTTCCGTTCGAAAACTCTTTCTGAATTCTGATGTGTGATTGTAAATCACAAAACTTCCGAAAAATTGTGTCAAAATTCATTTCTATATATTTATAAGATTATTTTATATCATCTTAAATTCAACAGTTTTATAAATTGCCCTATTAAAATATAGGCAAATATCTAGAAAAGCAAATAATCGCATAACTTTGCTTCACCTGATGAATATTACTTTTCTATTCAAGGAAAAACTGGTTTTTATAAATATGTGGACAATCAGAATTCAAACTGACATAACAAAAACTTAAATGTTTTTGAAAATAATATGTTTAAGATGTAATAAACAATATGTCGAAATACAATAAACAATGCAATAACAGTAATGCAATAAATAATATGATGAATTATTACAAGAGACATTTGAGTATTTGAATATATTTTATTACATATCGAAAAGCCATGGATAACTTTCTTGATGCTACGTTCGAATACACCAGTACAGACAACACAACTGGAGATTTTAATTTTTCATCAGCAAACGATACTGTTTATGATGATGGATATCAGTTTTATTATTTTTATCAGGTAAGATTTATTTTTTCCATATAATGAAAGTTTTACAGTAAAATTAAAAGAATATTTGTGTAATCGTAAAACTGTTTTTAAATTAGTAATTTATCTACAGCAGGTATATGTTTTAAAATATATTCGAACATTTTGATTCGTGTTTGTTGCCAGTTTTACTTAATCCTGAGAGATTTCTGATTAATGATGCAATAATGTAATCGGAACATATGACATATTTCTTCACAGAAATAGTTAATATATAAATTTATGAATGTAAATTTGAGTCGTTAAATATTATTTGAAATTCTTAATTTTTTTTTTAAATTAGGGTAAATTTCAATAATTTTAGATTTCTAGATTTGATTCTAAATATTAGTTTATACTGTTCCGAAAATATGTTTAACTCTATCATAAAAAAGGATACTTTTCGCTTTACCATTTTGTTAGATGGAAAAACCACATGATTTCAACATTGATATAAGATAAAGTTCTTGATATATTTGGGAAATATCAGAATACCATTAATGAAGACTGTAAATGTATTTACCTGTAAATTATTTATTTATTCCTTATTTAACAATATCTAGCAGTTATGTTTATCTATCATAACTTTTTAATATTATTCTCAGTTATTATTATGTTATCGAATTTGATAATTCTTTAAAATTAAAAGCTTCAAACTGTGTTCCTTTATTACATTATAAAGTCATCATATGATATTACCTAATGAAACCATTTTATGATAAAAATATTAAGTTAACACTCTGCAATGATTATGAAATGATAAATAAGATATATTTACTTTCTAATACGTCATATTTACATTTATGGTAACATTTGTGTAAAACTGTGCTCAATAAATGATTGCAAATAAAAATATGAATAAAAAATAACCATTTGATATTAAAGCAATATTTTTTATAATTTATAATAATTATATATTTTTATAATGTATAATAATTATTTACTCTTATAATTTACAATAATTAGATATATATTTTTTATAATTTAAATTGTAATATTACTTTGACAGGAAATATTTGACTGATTTTTATAACAACTTAAAAAATTAGGTAAGAATTTAAAAAAAAAAGTTTTGGTATGAAGTTAGAATAGCAAACCGGCAAAATTATTATGTGTTAATTTTAGCGTAGTTAAATTGTTGAATATATATGGGATCATTAAGTTTTTATTCTTTTGACGTACGCACCCTAATTTAATATATACTTTTTAAGCATAGCTGATTCCTTAAATTTTTATTTATAATTAAGTGATGTCTTAAGAAAATTAATTAGAATTATAATTTTAATAGTAATATCTGAAATTTTGTGAAATTTTTTTTATTTTGCAATCGAAACATGTTCAAACGTCTTCTTGCAAAACTACTTTCATTTTACGAAAAAATTCACATTACGAAAAAAAAAAATACCATTTAAAAAACTTTCTCGCATAATGACCGGACGTGCACTCATTAAGACTCAATCTTAATTGTTCGCGTGCTGGACATAAAGTATGATTCTTAACTAAAGGAGACGGTATATTAAGTTATGAAATCAGACAAAATATGCAGTTCCTCCCATTAAACAATTTTTTTTGACTGATTTGGATTCTTGTCCTTTACTTAGATCCTTTAGAGGAGCAGACGCAAGTTAGAAAATATAGTCTGATAACTAATGCAGGAGAGGGAGAGCAATTATAAATTTGAGACCCTCATAGTTAGTTTCTCTTTTACATATTGGATAGTAACCAAACAATCATATTTTTAATTTTCATTTCTCAAGAAATATTTGACCAATCTTCTTTAAATTTTGCATTTCGTCATTTAAAAATGGGTGATTAAATATTGTGATATCATATGTTAAATTAAAAAAATAAAAAATAATTATGAAAATTATGGTTTTACTTAGAATTAACTCTAGATAAATGTGTTATATAATTGATTACAAATTCTTTAAATTTATTCTTAACAATTTAAGTGAAACGTCGAAATACTTAAATAATGAAATCAATATTAATTCTAATGATCCTAATAATTTAGACAAGAAAGCTGTCGAATATCTTTATTTCACTTTCATTTTTCACGTCATTCGCTATATCTTGAGAACATTTCAAAAGAACCGAAAGTATTTTGAACACAATTATAATACGCATTTATCTAATCATATTTTTTAATGCAATTTTTTTATAATTCTTTTTTTTTATTATTTTAATAATTAATAGTTAAAAAAGTTTCAATTGCAAGTTGTAATACATCTATGTTTAAATAATAGAATTCAAAATTTGAATGAATTTAAGGATCCAAATTTTAATGATAAGATTTTTTGAAATTCAATAACTAAGACTTCGATAATTCACAAACTATTCGACTGTATTCTAATAGTAAAAAAAGATTGTCTTACCGGGTAAAGCGAGGTACTTGCAACTTCGAAACTATAACATATTACTTAAACTTTATATTAATATGAGTTGAAAAAGTTATTTTTACTAACAATATATTATTTTTTATTACTTTATTAAATATTAGTCGAAAGTGTTTTTTTATTTTTAAGGTATGAGAATTTTTATGTCATTTTAAAATATATTATATTAAAGGACTAAAATTTGAACTTAATTGTTGAATAGAAATTTTTGAAATTGGAATTGGATGAAATTATGAGATTGGGTAACTCAGAGACCATTCGTCCTAATATAATAATGCAAATATAATAGTAATAAAGGCAGGGTATTTGCAGTTACAAAGTTTTAATTTATCTACTAAAGTTCTTTAAATCTGTTACCCTTATTTTCATATGAAATTGAAAAAAAGATAGTTATTACTTTCAAGGAAAAATTACTATACGTATAAATAAATTTGAAAAGGAACTCTTAGATCAGTGAAACCACAACTACGAATAATATTTCACCATAGTGTTATTACTGGCAGTCAGACTGCTATATTTTAGGGGGCAGTCAATGGCACCTGGAATTTACATAAAACATGAATTTAAAATATAGATTTAGAGTTTTATTAATGCATAATTTTTTCAATGAGTCTCCGTTTATTTATTTAAATAAGTTTTTATTTACCTTGTGTACGCTGTAATTTCGATAATTCGGGTTATAATTTCTGCGCTGTAATTACGGTAAAAAATTTTACACTTTGAGTGCCTCATTAGTTAAATCCATTTCACAGTAAAATATACTGTTATTTTAATAGTAATATTTATTTTAAAATTATTCAGTAATTTTATGGTAATTATTATTATAAAAGTTACATTGTATCTGATTTTTTGTTACGCAGCATGTTACGGTAAAAATCGATTTTTAGGTATAAAGTCCAGGCACCCGATTGCCGGTCATTTTTACAGTAATTTGATCCTGAAGTTTTACAGTATATTGAAATTTTCATCCTTTCTCTCTCGCTCTTCCCCTCTCTCTTTTTAACATTGAGTTTTGAACTTGCGAAATTCATCTTCTGGCTGTAATGTTTTATTTTGGCTATTGATGAACAATCCGAAAGTATAGTAGTGCGTTTTCAATTAACGAAATATTTTGAAAATTATGTGGAACTTTTCCTGTTGTTATCATTTGATTTTCAGGATCACTATTTGCAGTGCCATTTGTCGAAAAGTTTTGAATTAAATACAAGAACTTGGGGAGGAAAAATATGCGCCACGTTACATTAATTTTCAGCAAGGCACTTAAAAAAATTTTCAGATAATTTTTTTTTAAAACAGCCAGTCTAATTTAGCACTATCTACACTATGTCCCAAAATGATAATATTACTTTACTCTGTTGAATAGATAGACGTGAATATTTCTTATGGTAACAAACAACTTTCATAGTTAAATCAAGAGAGTTATTTTTTTAGAGCAGGTCTAAATTAAATGTTTGGCACTGAAAAATATACAGAGGATGAAACCTAGTATCGTGCAGGGGTAAAGTATGGTGTCATTTGAGAGGTTTGTCTTAATTACAAGCTAGCCTATTTCAATTTTAGCCCACTGACATACATTTTTCGTATATTCTTTCTTATTAATTCTTACTTCATCTTCAATTTGCAATTTTAGCGCCACCTATGAACCAAAATGCAACAATCTGCCTTATCAAATTGGAATATTTTTTTCGGAAAAGTTCAAATCTGTGATAAAAATTCATTAAATTATTTAATTGCTCCCACCCCAACCCCAGTGGGTGTGATAAAGTGTCGAGTTTGGTATCATTGAAGACTTTTTTTTTAAATTTTGCATAGTTACTTTTAAATATATGAATATATGCCAATCATATTTTTGCTCTTTAGTTGCTAGGGATTATTCATTTCAAATTCCTTATAATATTAGTTTTTAATTTTATTATTTTTAATTTAATGTTAATCAAGTCATCATCATATCTTCAGTGATAACTTACAAGAAATTTAATTTTAAATTAATATTCTATGATACCGATCAAATAGTTATTAATTTTGAAAAATTAAAAAGAAAATCTGATTCTCTTATACAGAAACAATTTATTTTATAAAAGTAAATTCTGTTGAAAAAGCATAACAAAAACGAAAGAGAGAACGTATTATTTAAATGGAAAACTTAATTTAAATGGGAAAAAAAAAGAAAAATCACTAGACACTTAGTATGTAAAACCCGTGTTTCTCTTAAATTTTACTCCTGAGAGCAAGGTAACGTTTGGAAAATTTTGAGTTTGCAGTGCTCAATATCTTTTTACTCATAATTTCCAAGCATAGATTCCTTTCAAAATCTTTAAGTAAATCAGATTGAAAATACTAATAGCAACTTATTAAAAAATGAATTAATCCGACCATAATCGTCGTTAGATGAAGCTACCTATTAATTCAGTAAGATAAAAATGATATCAAGAAAACTTTTTTTTCCCGCATATGAAATGATAATAGCCGAGAGAAACTATAATTATCCAAGAGAAATATTAAACGTATGAGATTGTAATATTCTGTTTTGTTTATGTTTGAAAATTGAAATGCAATATTAATGAAAAAAAAGGGAAAAAAACATCTTAAGTGATATAT